TATTCTATTCTATTCTATTCTATTCTATTCTATTCTATTCTATTCTATTCTATTCTATTCCATTCCATTCCATTCCATTCCCTATTCTATTCTATTCTATTATAGAGTATCGCATATCCCACACCCTGACAGATATATGGTAGATCATTCCTCCAGATTCAGGATATCCAATTCATTGCTGTGTGAATACTAACCAAACCCATTGCTTGTCCTTCCTTATTCCTAGCTTGCCCTGCCGAGGGAGCGTAGCCGGAAAAGCATGGAATTGGAAAAGACCTGTAAAATTGACCGCACGCTCCTCAAAAACAGCCAGGCTGTTTCCGAGGATTACAAACAGGCTTTATACGACCGAGGACACTTGCTACCTGTTCTCCATCAACCGGACCGGGAGAGCAAAGCTGCGACCTTCACCTTAACCAATATTGTGCCCCAGTTTCGCCGACTCAATCAAGGAAAATGGGCGGATTATGAAAGAAGTATGACAAAACTTACCAAAGGGTGCCTTGATACCTATGTCCTTGTGGGCGTAGTGCCTGGGAGTGAATTCATTGCTCATAGCAGAGTGAACATACCTAGTCATATCTGGGCTGCAGCTTGTTGTGTGGCTAAACAGAAAAAATCCTGGGGAGTCATTGCAGAAAATAATCAAGCTCAGATAGTCCAGCATAGCCTGAAGCAGCTGGAAATACAACTTGCTAAATGCTATGGGAAGAAGAATATTAACCTTTTCAATGGTGCTTGCTATGCAACAAAACAGCTTCATGTAACAAACACATCCAGGGTACAAACCAGGAGTTGGCTACCGGGGGCTCACAGGGGCTCAGGCGAGCCTCTAGCTAAGACTCTGAGGGGCTCGTAGAGCCCCCAGTAACCCCAGAAAGACAAGCAGCAAGGGAAAGCTCTTAATAGGCTTAATTGAACTTTTGGGCATTCAGCCAAGAGCATTTCACACCTTGTAAATGTGTTGCAAGCTAGATAAACAATCCGCTCAGCGCTTGAGAGGGAGAGTCATGGAGAAACTCAGATAACATAGCCACTAGCCTCCGAGGGATTAATTCCAAAATAATAAGAATCATGCAACTCACCAGAAACTCCACTAAGACTCCAAGATCCCTCTCACAGTCACTGCTATTAAGCTTGGTTTCACCCAGTCTTTTATTTAAGTATTAAATGCACAAAATAATAAACAACTTTTTGGTATATTATATATATACACATATATACATATATACATGACGATACGTCCCACCTACCAGACATCTGGAAGCTAGCCCTCACCAACAAACGAGTCCCAGCCACGAAAACCAACACCAGACCCAAAACAACATGGGACACCACCGCCAATCCCCCTCATCAGACCCAGGCCCAAGCCCATCCTATGAACGAAGGACAACCACCATCCAGAAAACAGACCATGGCTGCTTCGCCAGCTGTCGCACCCCCTGACCTCAAAACCAAACAAGCTGACACACGCCAAGAACACACACCCAGACCCCAAACTCGAAGCCAGACTAAAACCCAGAATGCTACATCACAGCCACCCACTCAGGATATCGCATCAGAAAACTCAGGAAATTACACCACAAGAACTCAAGAAGTTGCAACACAGCAAATGATCCAGGATATCACAGCACAAGACCAAGGATATCACAGCAATAAGTCTCACAAGGTCATCACACAAACCATTACCCAAGCCATTACTACACAGGAGGCTAATGGAAAAGAGATCAAAACACAAGTGACCCAGGAGATTACAATGCAGGACTCAGGATACCACAACAAAAGAACTCACAAGCCCATCACACAACCCTTTACCCAAGCCGTTAAAACACGAGAGGCTAATGGAAAAAAGATCACTACAAAACAAACGACCCAGGAGATTACAGCACAAGATCCAGGATATCTCCACAACAAAACTCACAAGGCCATCACACAGCCCATTATACCAACATCAACTCCATCAACCAATCAAGAGGCAGCAGCACAGCCAACCAGCCCAGCACACCAGTCCCCCCCACCAGTATTTATAGAGAGATGGCAGCTCCGATCACACACTGCTTGCACTGGCACGAAGCCGAAAGCACCAGCCTGAGGATGGCAAGTGGGACCTTGCTGAAACGTCACCAAGATACTCTTAATCTTACATGGAAAAAGACCCAAACGCACCTAGTCCCATAGAAGCGACATCGAGTTGGCCACACACACCCAGTCACATGTCCATCCAGCCATGACCACCCAGCCAGTCATTAGGACAGAGAGCCCCTTGCTAAAAAAAATTTGAAGTCCACCCCTGGTACAAACCCTGCAGCTTACCTGTATGACACCTTAAATGAATGCATTTAATTACAGTTAGTCCTCAGCTTACAACAGTTCATTTAGCAACTGAAGTTACAATCGCTCTGAAGAAAGGACTACCTGTGCAATAGCTCTTAGAATTCTTTCTCAATGGCTTTCTTAAGTCTTGCAATAGACTTGCTTATCCAAGATCTCTGTCCTCTCGTGACTTTCAGTAAATCCATCTAAAAAAGTTTGACTGTTCCATTTTGCACAATTTTATCAATCAATCAGATATGCGGGTAAGGTGTGGTGGCAGGGAGAACACCCATTGCAAATACATTCCAGCTTGGGGTTTGGGGGTTATTTCAGTGGTGGGATTTAGCCAGTTTTAGCGAACTGGTAGCAATAATTTCCTTCTTTCAGTGGTCCATGAAAGTACACCCATAGTATGCAGATGCAGATAATAAAGTTGAAAAAAGGTGAACAACAATTTTACAGAACTATAGTTACATTGAGGCTGGGGGTGACAAGGAGTGGCTGGGTGGGGAGGGGCTGGGCAAAGTGCCCCTTGACATGAGTGGCATCAAGGTGGCCAAGCCCTCCCAATCACGTGACCACCAAGCCACGGCCAATCACATGACCACCTAGCCACACTCACAGAACCAGTGGTAAAAAAATAATAATGAATCCCACCACTGGATTATTTATTTATTTAGTGTCAACTCATAAAATATTTCTATGGGTCTTTTTAGAATTGCCAACAGAAAGGGAGCGGGGAGTAGTGGGCAGCTTGCATTCCATAAATGTTTTCAAAGATGGTTTCCAGGCGACTGAAGTTTCTGCCGTGCAAAATTCTAACTGGAGAGCATGATTGATGACTCTGGGCTATGGAGGTGTCCCATTGGAGAATATAAATTATGATACACCCAGGGGGTGGGGGAAAACCAGGATCAAGAGTGACAGTGAAGGATGTGTCTCAGAGTCGGCTACACCCAGGCAGTGCCGGACATGTTTAGTCCTAATAAATTTTCTTTAAGTTTTGACATTTTGCCTAGAGACTCATGATTTAATTGGGGGTAATTGCCGGAGCCCTGACATTTAGCACATGGCATATCATACATGGATTAGCAATACATACTAACATTTCAGGATCTAATCTGGGTCGGTCATTGGTACCAGAGGTTTTGTCTTCCGAGCTTTTGGACTCGTGCTAGAACTCATCTCCAGGGAACTTCACTCTGTTCTGGGTGTGTTATTTATAGTGCCTATCGTATGTGGTTGTTTAGATGTTGACCAGGGTGTGTTGATGGCGGGTTTTTAAGTCTTTAGCTGTGTTTGCTTGGGGAATGGACCAGCATGCCACAACCAGCTCACCGCAGCCAACTCATCGCATGTTCTGCCCATACCCTTTTCCAACAAATCAAACACAATCCAAATAGAACAGAAACCTTGTAATGCTTTTGCAAAATGATTAGCTGTGATAAGCACAAGCCTTGCCAAACTGTGCGAGGCTTGCCAAAAGATAACAGACAAGAAATAATTTGCAATACAAGAATCTTCAAATATAAACTCAGGATACTGGAACGTCCACGAGGCTGAAGTTTCAAAACGTCTTTGCCTTCTGCGAAGTACGTTTGTTTCACAGCTTGCTTTTATCTTCTTGAAGGAGGGGCCATTACCTTGCAGCCTTGCTCCTGAGTCGCCTGTGCTGTTGCAGCTGCTCTTTCCTGCGAGCAATCCTGCGCGCACACGCATTTGGCACAGGCTCCTTGGGAACCTGTGTAATAACTAGCAGTCAGCACGGGTTTGTTAAAAACAGATTATGCCAAACCAATCTTATTTCATTCTTCAACACAGTGACTAAATTAGTAGACCAGCAAAATACTGTGGACATAATATATTTAGATTTCAGCAAGGCATTCGATAAAGTAGACCACAACCTACTTCTTAGTAAGCTAGAAAAAAGTGCAGTAGATAGCACCACCACTAGATGGACACGCAACTGGCTGGCAAACCGTACTCAACGAGTAGTACTTAATGGGTCTAAGTCTACACGGAGGGAAGTAAGCAGCGGGGTGCCAGAAGGTTCCATCTTAGGCCCAGTACTCTTCAATATCTTCATTAACGACTTAGATGAGGAAATAGAAGGGGAACTTACCAAATTTGCAGATGATACTAAGCTGGCAGGAATAGCTAACACCCAAGAAGATAGGCTCAAGATCCAGATGGATCTTGACAGACTAAGACACTGGGCCATATCTAATAAAATGAAATTCAATATAGAGAAAAGTAAAGTCCTACACTTAGGCAAGAAAAACCAAAAGGACACATATAGACTGGGTGAAACCAGGCTCAATAGCAGTAACTGTGAGAGGGATCTTGGAGTCTTAGTGGATAACCAGCTAAATATGAGCCAGCAGTGTGCAGCAGCAGCCAAGAAAGCTAATGCAATCCTAAATTGTATTAACACAGGGATACAATCAAGATCAAGGGAAGTACTAATACCACCCTATAAAGCCTTAGTAAGACCACACCTAGAGTACTGCATCCAGTTTTGGTCACCACATTATAAAAAAGATGTTAAGGCTCTAGAAAAAGTACAGAGAAGAGCAACCAGGATGATTAGGGGACTGGAGGCTAAAACATACAACGAACGGTTGCAGGAACTGGGCTTGGCTAGTCTAGTAAAGAGAAGAACTAGGGGAGACATGATAGTGGTCTTCCAATATTTGAGGGGCTGCCACAGGGAGGAGGAAGGGGTCAAGCTATTTTTGAAAGTGCCTGTAGGCCAGACAAGGAATAATGGATGGAAACTGAACAAGGAGAGATTTAACCTGGAAATAAGGAGAAACTTTCTGACAGTGAGAACAACCAACGGAACAGAAGTTGCCTTTGGAAGTTGTGAGAGCGCCATCACTTGAGACTTTCAAGAAGAGATTGGACTGCCATTTATCAGAAATGGTGTAGGGTCTCCCACTTGGGTGGGGGGTTGGACTAGATGACCTACAAGGTCCCTTCCAACTCTAATTATCTGTAAACCTCCTCATCGCTGCTGCCAGCCCCCACAACCTCTGAAGGCAGCAGTCTACTCCCTAATGGTCCTGGCCCCTCATCTGAGTCCTCGCTTTCCTCAGCCATCCGCACCTAACCACAACAGCGCAGCCAATTCACCGCTGGACAACTCACTGCAAGACAATTGAACAATTCTGTTTAATTATTTAAAAATAAATATATAAAAAAATGTCCCAAATGACAATTGCAGACAGAAGGTGGCAGCACCTCCCCAATCAATGAAACCCACCAGCCCATCTCAACAGTTTTCTGACAGAAGAGAGCAGCCGGTACAGGAAAATGTAAGAAAGAGATGGGTGAGCAGACAAGATAGGAAAGTGGGGAGGGCAGGAGAGGAAGGAGGGGAGGAGAAGGGAGGAAGGAGGAAAGGAGGAAGGAAAAAAGAGCGGAAGGAGAGGAAACAGGAACAGAAAGGGAAGGGGAAAGGAAAAGGAAAAGGAAAAGAAAGGAAAGAATGGAAATGGAGGGAGGAACGAAGGAAGGAAGGAACAAGGCAAAAGATGAAGAATTGGAAACAGAAACGGAAAAGGGAAGGGTAGGGTAGGAAAGGAAAGAAGAAAGGGAGGGGAAGGGGAGGAGGGAGGGAGGGAGGGCCTT